TTTTTTTTTTTTTTTTTTTTTTTTTGATTCCCCTTTTGATGACTAAACCATTAGTGTGTGTGTTACGCGTCCCTGCTTACTACCTCTCAGTAAAATGAAATGATCCCCCACGATGCTCTGTACCCCTTTTAGAAGAAGTAATAACGTAAATTAGAGCAGCATGTGTCGTATTAACAGAAAAAAGAGAAAATAACTCCTTAAAGAACATGCATCTAATTCTAGTAATGCGATGGCATCTTTTATAGGACTTTTTTTATTCCTTTAAATACACTTGTTTACCCTTTTGTTTAACCTTATCTATGAATAGTCACCATGTTTTTCTTAAATAGTGAATTCACGAGCTCCACTTGGAGGTTTTACCGCTTAACTCCTCCACGATTACACATGCAACTCATTTTTAATTATTTTCCGCATTGCCTATAGACACTAACCGTTATCTTTTGAAGCATAGTTGGTATCTCGTAATCCAAAGGACTCCATTTATGGAACAGACAATAGCCATAATACGTGGAGCAATATGGATCAGAAAAAAATGATAATATGTGAAGTACTTTCCCCCTCACATTTTTAAAAATCAGCTCTAATAAAAATTCACATATATGCATAATAGGGCAGTTACTAAAAAAGGACAAATGCGCTCTTCATTTAAAAACTTTAGATTTTATTTTAACTACCCTAACCGCGTTTTACACATTAAATATATTTTTCCCCGTGGGCACTGCATCATTAATACACCTTATGCATGGGCAAATCGACTGTGAAAAAAGCGTAGACTCAAAATGCAGCTATTATAAAATGCGTCTCACCAATTAGCCTATAACTGCTCAAATTCTGGGTTTATGTCACACGTACCTCTGAACTGGGTTCAACCACAACGCATCAACAAAATATGCAGTCACACACTACCATTTCTAGGTCTAAGAGGGTAGCGCTAGGTATTTTTAGTCCCCCTAACCACATGCGTAGCCATTCTTAAGAGAAAACTGAACTGCCCCAAATGAACATTGAAGAGCTGGTACCTGGAGATTTTAGTCCCCCTCTATCAGCCAGAAAAAGGTACATCTGTATATATGTTCGTGTGCATGTACCGCCTAAATTGGGGCGAGAAAAATGCTACATGGTTGAAAAAGTTCCTTGGGATTACCTTCCACATTTATATCATTGTGCATTCTAATTCCATTTTTTCTTTTCTTTTTTTCCCTCAGCTTTTACACCAATCCATTTGTTAATACTGAAAAAAAAAATTTCACAATGGCAACGCAGTGGGCAACTGTTCCAACTTTATATGAGATTACTCATCAAATCACATTTAGAACAGCAAAAAAAATTTCAACAAAAAATGGAAAAAAAAATATAATAACAAATCAATTCTTTTCATCAACAAAAAGTTAAACATGCTGCTAATAAAAACGTAGATAAGCAGAATTATTGCACTTTATTTGTAAGCAAAACCGGGTAAACCTTATTTGTAAAAATTGTTCCATCGCTGGTTCGCCTTCATTGTCCGTACATGCATTTATATATACACGCAACGGCACATAATTGTCGAAATCGTGTGGTGGTCATAAAATACTTGTTATGAAAATTTCTCAGTTAACATCACGTACACATTAACAAAACAAAATAATTACAGGCAGGAAAAACAAAAGGATAAAGTGCGTACGGTTATGTGTTCATGTTACTTTTCTGAGCAGCCAACTTATAGGTGACGTCGTAACAAAATACACACAGGTAGATTTAGTCAATTTGTAAATTTTTATTTTACAGTGCGAATTTTCTTTTATTATTGCATCATTCAGTGTTCCACCCTTCTTTTAAGCACTACGCCGGCATAACTATTTATTTTTTTTTTTTTTTCTATACTTCTTAAGAAAGACAAAAATAAGTAGCAAAATTAAATAGTAAAATAAATCACATAAATAAATAAACGAGTACATAAGAAAAAACTGTACATTATAAAATCTGTCTTGCACCCCACATGGATAAACAAAATGAACAAAAAAAAAAAAAAAGATCCATTTTGTAATCTCTCACAACTTTTTTATTATTGTTTTTTTTTTTTTTGTATCGTAGAAAAAAATATATATATATTTATATTGAAAGAACTGTCCTACCCTTCATAAACCTAATTGCTGTAACAAGAAAATGTGGTTAAACATTAAAGGTGCTACTTAAAAATAGGATGAAGGTTTTAATCACAGCTAAATGAAAAAAATATATTTTCTTTTCTTTTCTTTTTTTTTTTTTTTAATCTTTCTCGTGCTTTTGTTTTATTTTTTCGATTTAGTAATATAAGTATTTGTTAGTTGCTTTTATATTTGTACTGCTTATTTTTACCGCTTTTTATTTGCACTTTTCATTTCCACTTTTTATTTCCACTCTTTATTTCCACTTTTTATTTCCACTGTTTATTTCCGCTTTTTATTTCCACTGTTTATTTCCGCTTTTTATTTCCACTGTTTATTTCCGCTTTTTATTTCCACT